ACACGTATATCTTTGGGAGTCACTAAATTTCTCGCCACTCCAAGGGCAACATCGTTGTCCAAGAGTATTGAGTCATTTACTGTCACGGGCCCCCGTACGGAGGCAAAGTAGGGCATCCATACTAGTGCCGCTGCTTGGCCCCATGTCTGAGTCGGTGGAGCTAGGTTGAGATCCAATGAAAATGGGTAGAAAGAGGCCATTTGATTTCTCACTTTCTTTACTTCTTTCTTTTCTCTTTTGTGTGTTTCTGCGTTTCTGTTTTTCACTCTCTCTTTGCCCTTTATAGACTTAGTTTTTGCTAAACCGTAGCCCCTGCGCTTCTGAGTTTCGCGCGCCCCTACAGCTTATCTCCTTATGTCGCCGCACCCGTTCCCCAACTCCTTTAATTGAAATCTCACCTTTCAACACAGTCGAAAAAGTCATCACGCTGTTCCGATATGCCAATAATTCTGGCTTGGGAATGTGTGAGGGCCCTCTGCGCGTTGACACGTCACTCTTTTGGCCCGTGACCTACCAGGAACTGAGACATCGGGTCCCTCGTTCTTTCTTTTCAGAAATCTCGTTCCTTGTGCTTCTGACAACGCTTCTTTGTTTTTATTTTAAATAATAATAATAATAATCACAAAAATAACAAGAATAGAAAATAAGCGTTTGGGCTTTCCAATGGGTTGGACTTTTTCGAAATTTGGATTTCAGTTGCGTAGGACTATTTGTTTGGGTTTACTGTTTTGTTTTGTTTTTGTTTTTGCAATTGTGTTGTAGTTTTAATTCTTGTTTGTTCTTTTATTTAATTGCTTTAATCCCTGATGCCTAAATTTTTCAACATTAAGGACAATTTTTATTTCTAAGTTTGGGAAGGGGTAGCAAGTCATTTTCGTTTCACTTAATTTCTTGCTTTCTTTTATTTTGTTTTCTTTTCAGTTTTGAGTCATTTTATTTTCAAGTCACTTTCCGAACACATATGATGAGATTGTGATGAATGTTTACATGACTTGATTGAAAATGCTAAAAAATTTATTATTTACTAAATGACATCGTTCTAGCATGATATGTTTGAAACCCTCTATGCACTTGCCATTCGTTTCATAATTCTCCAATTGAAGGACTTGCATGATCCAAAGAATTGTATCAAGTATGAATTAGACTTGTATAACCATATAATGTGAGCTTTGAAGCCAAGTGACAATGGTGAAAGAAAAGAGAAAAGTTGTGGTTAAGTGACAATGGATTCAAATTTCAATTCCAAGTTTCGTTATTGGCCATAAAATAAATTGATGGTTGTTCAAATAGAAGAAAGAAGTGTGAATCAAAATAAGTGGAGGTATAAGGCTTTGTGGTCTATTTGGTCACATAAAAAAATGAAAATCTTAAGCATGAGGATTCAAAGTCTTGTAATCAACTATCTTATGCTCTTACATTGCGAGTTCCTTGGACTTTGTTGTATCCGTATCCTTCATTTCTCACTCACCTTACACCCTTAGCCCCATTACAACCTATAGTAAAGACCTAAATTGATCCTAAATGTCATGTGGTTGAATTGCACACATCTTTCAACTTTTAAGTGTTTGGCACCCTTCTTGATATCATAGTCATGCATGTTTTTCATCCTTCTATTGTGAGTTAAGTCCCTTATGGTTTAACTCTATTCTCATATTTATTATTTAGTAATGCATTGTAAACCTCTTCCGAGTGATTCATTTGTGAGAGGACAACTTTTGTGAGAGTTGAAGTTACATTTGTGCTTGGTATGATTTTCGAAGTTGTGTGAAAACTGAAATTGGAGAATGAGTTGAATTTGGCCATCACCCTACTACACTTTGAGCATGTTGTGTTTTGAACTTTGCCGACTTGTGAATGATGTCTACACTGAGCTTTTTTTGTGAAAACTTTTAAGTCATTTGCATGAGTCGCTCTCTCTTTGGAAAGTGTTCAGAAAGATTGTTTCAAGTCTTGTTTTAGTTTCTGTTTTGCTCGAGAACTAGCAAAAGATAAGTTTGGGAAGTTTGTTCGGTCCATTTTTACACATGATTTATTATGTTATTCCCCTAATATTTTGATTTAGTTCTTGACATTTTATAGCTTTTTACTTCCTTTTTGTGTTTTCATAAGTTTTACCTTGGTTAGAATGAAAATGAGCTAAAAGTGCATTATTGGTAAACACCATGCTATTAGGATTCTTGTGATGTTCATATTCTCTTTGAACTTACTGGGTTTTCCTTGTAATTGAATCGAAGTACTAAGCACACCTAAGTTCAGTTATGGGGAGGCCACGAGTATTGTAGCACTAACCCTGCACTCTACTTATTTTAGAGAGAATCATGCATCTTAAGCCATTAAATCCGGTCTTGATTGCGAACATCTTCATCAGCACGTTTAGAGTTCATCACTTGAGTATTCACGAACTTGAGTAAGATTGTTTAGGGTGGATTCCGAAACCTTAGTATTTGTTACTTTGTACTTTCACACTTTGACAACTCATGTCTGCCATTCTCATTTAAGTTTAAAGTTCATTTACTTTCATGCATTAAAAATAGGTCACTCAAATCAACTCAAACCCCCCCAACACTTTGTGTGTGTTTGTGTTGTTGGAAACGTTGTGTGTTTTCTTCATTGAATTCTGTTTATTTCCGTAATTGTTTTTGACTTTTGGTCCGCATTATGTTCTTTGTTTTTCTGTGCTGAATCCAACCATATAAAGAACTTGAAATTTGGACAAACGGTTGGAAAGTTATAATTGAAAAACTGGACAGAGGTCGAAACTAAAAAACAGAGAAAACGAATCTGCCAAAAAAGACTGGTCGTTACTGTTCAGGCGACCGGTCGCCAGCATTGTTCATGTACTGTTCACAGGTGATACAGTGGTGATAAAAGGGTGATAGGAAGTGTTGTTTGTGTTTTTCTTTGGTTTCTTGTTTTGTTTCTTTTCTTTTACCTTTCTTTACTCATTTTTACTTTCCAATTTGTTTTGTGCGTGTGTGGTGTGTTAAATAAGTGTTCTTTACGTACTCAAATTAGAACTTGTAGAAAGTCGACAGTTCTTCGTGGGATTGACCCTGTACATACATAATCTATACCTCAATAGATTCGTGCACTTGCGGGTATTTTTAATTGGTTGTTTGCACATTTATTTGTGTCAGTTATGAATACAACAATTTTTGAATATGATTCTTGGTGATGTTGAAGAAATTGTTACTTCTGTAGAATTTGATGATGAAACTTATGAAGAGATTGTCCGGGTATGTGACTCATTTCTTTTCCTTTAGTTCATTTCTTTTCCAATAAATTTTAATTTGTAATATTGTTTTCCTGGTGGAGTAAATTGCATGAATAACAAAAAAAAAAAATTGTAACTTTAAACCATGGGATAGAACTGCTGTAGTGACGGTACGCTCAGGTTCCAGAGGCAATACTCTTTATTACCTATGGGTGTGCTCACCTAGATCTGAATGTTTCTGCATTACCACTGTGGACTTTGCTAAATTTTGGAAAACTTCTGCCTTTGGAAATTTATGCTCAGCCAGATATGAAAAAAAAAAAACCGTGGATTCTGTCTATTGAACCCTTGATAGGTCACATCTGCTCCTGAGTGAGTTTAAGTTGCCGGTCATTTATCTTATCATCAAAAAATGACTGCAGTGAAACTAATATAAGTTAAGTAAACATCTTGTTTTGTCTACAATTCATAACCAAACAACGTATCAAATAAATTGCTTTTAGCTCAAGGCATTACCATTGAGAATGGGTTAGAGCTAATTCATGAAATAGATGGTTGTGTATTGAAATATTAACATTGATATAGACAATCAAAACCCTAAAACGTAATTAACGAAGAAAAGGTACAAAATGATGATAAATATTTGTTTGGTTTTTCTTCAACTATATTCATGAACCAGGTGCTCCACGGACGCATCAGGAAAGTTCACTTGTGCCACAGCAGATTGTGGCTCTGGCCAAGTCTCATGCAACGGTAACGACGCAGTTCCGCCAGCTACATTAGTAGAAATCACTATTGCTCCGAACGGGGGTCAAGATTTCTACGACGTTAGTCTTGTTAACGGCTTCAACTTACCCATGGCCGTGGCTCCACAAGGTGGCACCGGCGAGTGTAAGGCCTCAACTTGCCCTGCCGATGTAAACGCGGTGTGCCCGGCTGAGTTACAAGTGAAGGGATCATATGGAAGCGTAATTGCGTGCAAGAGCGCTTGCTTAGCGTTTGACGAGTCAAAATACTGTTGCACTCCACCTAACGACAAGCCGGAGACATGCCCTCCCACTGACTACTCTAAGCTCTTTAAGGACCAGTGCCCACAAGCTTATAGCTATGCTTATGATGACAAGAGCAGCACCTTTACATGCAATGCTAGCCCTGACTACCTCATCACATTCTTCCCATAAGCATATATATATATGGGATCTTATATGTTATGATATTATACATGTAGTTCCCAATAATAGAAAAGAAGAAATAAATTTCCTGGATCTTGACACATTGTTGATGTCAAGAATTTGTAATGCAGACGATCAAATAAAGGAATAAATGTTTGGCTTTCCAATTTGTTTTGTGCGTGTGTGGTGTGTTAAATAAGTGTTCTTTACGTACTCAAATTAGAACTTGTAGAAAGTCGACAGTTCTTCGTGGGATTGACCCTGTACATACATAATCTATACCTCAATAGATTCGTGCACTTGCGGGTATTTTTAATTGGTTGTTTGCACATTTATTTGTGTCAGTTATGAATACAACAATTTTTGAATATGATTCTTGGTGATGTTGAAGAAATTGTTACTTCTGTAGAAATTGATGATGAAACTTATGAAGAGATTGTCCGGGTATGTGACTCATTTCTTTTCCTTTAGTTCATTTCTTTTCCAATAAATTTTAATTTGTAATATTGTTTTCCTGGTGGAGTAAATTGCATGAATAACAAAAAAAAAAAAATTGTAACTTTAAACCATGGGATAGAACTGCTGTAGTGACGGTACGCTCAGGTTCCAGAGGCAATACTCTTTATTACCTATGGGTGTGCTCACCTAGATCTGAATGTTTCTGCATTACCACTGTGGACTTTGCTAAATTTTGGAAAACTTCTGCCTTTGGAAATTTATGCTCAGCCAGATATGAAAAAAAAAAAACCGTGGATTCTGTCTATTGAACCCTTGATAGGTCACATCTGCTCCTGAGTGAGTTTAAGTTGCCGGTCATTTATCTTATCATCAAAAGATGACTGCAGTGAAACTAATATAAGTTAAGTAAACATCTTGTTTTGTCTACAATTCATAACCAAACAACGTATCAAATAAATTGCTTTTAGCTCAAGGCATTACCATTGAGAATGGGTTAGAGCTAATTCATGAAATAGATGGTTGTGTATTGAAATATTAACATTGATATAGACAATCAAAACCCTAAAACGTAATTAACGAAGAAAAGGTACAAAATGATGATAAATATTTGTTTGGTTTTTCTTCAACTATATTCATGAACCAGGTGCTCCACGGACGCATCAGGAAAGTTCACTTGTGCCACAGCAGATTGTGGCTCTGGCCAAGTCTCATGCAACGGTAACGACGCAGTTCCGCCAGCTACATTAGTAGAAATCACTATTGCTCCGAACGGGGGTCAAGATTTCTACGACGTTAGTCTTGTTAACGGCTTCAACTTACCCATGGCCGTGGCTCCACAAGGTGGCACCGGCGAGTGTAAGGCCTCAACTTGCCCTGCCGATGTAAACGCGGTGTGCCCGGCTGAGTTACAAGTGAAGGGATCATATGGAAGCGTAATTGCGTGTGCGCTCGGAGGTCGGGTCCCACATAGGAGCAGAGGTTGGTCTTCCATTCACGGTTTATGTGTCTGTGGCTATGGTTGATTTGGGGAAGAAGGGATTGTAGAGAGTGGGAGAGACAGAGAGAGACAGAGAGATACAAAGAGATATGGAAGGTGAGGTTTTTTATTATTTATAAACTTTATTTATATTATTATTATTTCAAATTTCAAATTATTTTATATTTTTTTCATATGGAAATGACCAATTTGCCCTCATATTTAACGGAAAATTAGATGAAATGTTGTGGATTTAGACGGAGGGGGGAAATTGGCCAAAAAAAAAGAGTTCATATCCTTAATTTTCTAAAAAAAAGAATAGGGAGTTAATTGAAAATTAGGTACAAGTTTAGGGGCAAATCACTAGTATACCCTTTCCCTGAACGTGTATTTGTACATAGAGCAACCCTGTACACACTCCCTTTACTATTCCTTGCTGAGAGAACAGCCCCAATCCTCAGTTCCCTCAACACCATTGCGACGCTCAACAGCTCCGATCCAGCGACGACATCCGCTTGAAGATATTTCTTCGAGGTCAGCTCTGCTCGGGCTTTCCAATTTTATTTTCAGTTCAAGGTAACCACTTTTCTCTCTCTTCCTATAGTTCGTGATTCTTACAAGCTCAAAGTTAGAGTTATGCAATGATTTGGGTTTTCAGATTTTTTAAATAGGGATAATTAATTACAGTGTTGGTTTTGGTTTCTGGGGTTTTTGATTTAGGCTGGAAGGGCTAATTAATTGTAATATTATTTTGGGTTTTTGGGGTTTTCGATTGTGATTTTGGTTTGTGGGTTGTTGATTAACCTGTGAGCGCGGCAAACAGGTACCCGTTGGAGATATTGAATTGCTTTCTGAGCAAACTAAGAGATGGCGAGTGAGGAAGAGAGTGCGGTGAAGGAGCCGTTGGATCTGATACGGCTCAGCCTCGACGAGCGCATCTACGTCAAGCTCCGCTCCGACCGTGAGCTCCGCGGTAAACTCCATGTACGTCTCCACACCCCTACCACGCCTCTTACTCTGCCCTAAATTTGGTTTTGTCTACTTTCTGAGTTGTTCTAATTAGGGTTCTAGATTTGGCAAAAACTAAAAATGAAGAGAAAAGAAAGTTTAGGGTTTAAAAGTATGCTGCTTTGGTGTTAAGTGGTGAATGGAAATTAGGGTTCTTTCTTATGATATGCGTAAAGTATACAATATCTGTTTTCTTTTATTATTTTCCAAGGAAAAGCCATAACCTTTTTCTTTTTTTGCAGTTTCTATAATTGTCTGTTTTTGCGTTTGGGTTCATTGGGAAAAGTGATATGAATGAATGAACTCGAGTCTTTTCATTTTATTGCAATTCTAAGTATTTTTGCTTCTAGTTTTTTGTAAGTTTTAAATTTTCTTTCAAATGTTGGAGCTTGTTGAATATGGAAAGATACTTACAGTGGTTACTTTGACACTACTATGATTATGGCACTGATGATGGTGGTCTATTGGTGGTTAATATTATATAGTTTATCAATTCTAGAGTGATGATTTAGTTTGCTCTTCGCCTCATCTTATCATGAAATTTTACCTACTATATTCTCCCATTAACTGATCTAGGCAAAATGTGTGGCTGTATAAGAAATCTGTAGCCATCTTTATTGCTTTTTCAGAGTTAAATCCTCTCTTTTCTTATTATTGAATTCAAATTTTAAATTATGTAAGCGGATGGATCTTGGGTGATTCTGTTGACTTTTTGAGTAAGGAATACTTCTTAGCCAGCATTGCAATTGTCATAAGAGTTATGCTAAGCCAACCAGTGATGCTTTCCAAATCATCTTTCTTTTCCCCTTCACCTTTGTTTGCGTGTTCCTCAAAAGTACTTCTAATCAAACAATGAATAATATGTCCTAAAGAACAGAAAATAAAAATTACAAGTTGTTGGTTCAGAAGGTTGTTATGTGAGGACCAATTGTCGAACTTGATGCAATGACATTAGGGATTAGGAGAGGGGGGGAGGGTGAATGAGAAAGTTTCTTGTATGTTTACAATTATGTCAGCTGGTTCTGCTAATTGTTACTTATGACAATAATAATTGTGGTTATAAAGCTTAGTGTCTGATTCTTATTTTGTTGTTTCAAATCTGGCTTTGCAGGCTTATGATCAACACTTGAATATGATTCTTGGTGATGTTGAAGAAATTGTTACTTCTGTAGAAATTGATGATGAAACTTATGAAGAGATTGTCCGGGTATGTGACTCATTTCTTTTCCTTTAGTTCATTTCTTTTCCAATAAATTTTAATTTGTAATATTGTTTTCCTGGTGGAGTAAATTGCATGAATAACCAAAAAAAAAAATTGTAACTTAAACCATGGGATAGAACTGCTGTAGTGACGGTACCCTCAGGTTGTTCCAGAGGCAATACTCTTTATTACCTATGGGAGTGCTCACCTAGATCTGAATGTTTCTGCATTACCACTGTGGACTTTGCTAAATTTTGGAAAACTTCTGCCTTTGGAAATTTATGCTCAGCCAGATATGAAAAAAAAGAAGTGTGGATTCTGTCTATTGAACCCTTGATAGGTCACATCTGCTCCTGAGTGAGTTTAAGTTGCCGGTCATTTATCTTATCATCAAAAGATGACTGCAGTGAAACTAATATAAGTTAAGTAAACATCTTGTTTTGTCTACAATTCATAACCAAACAACGTATCAAATAAATTGCTTTTAGCTCAAGGCATTACCATTGAGAATGGGTTAGAGCTGATTCACAAAATAGATTGTTGTGTATTGAAATTTAACATTGATATAGAGAATCAAAACCCTAAAACGTAATTAACGAAGAAAAGGTACAAAATGATGATAAATATTTGTTTCGTTTTTGCATTTGGTGTTAACATCTTTGGAAATTTATGCTCAGCCAGATATGAAAAAAAAGAAGTGTGGATTCTGTCTATTGAACCCTTGATAGGTCACATCTGCTCCTGAGTGAGTTTAAGTTGCCAGTCATTTATTTTATCATCAAAAGATGACTGCAGTGAAACTAATATAAGTTAAGTAAACATCTTGTTTTGTCTTTTACAATTCATAAGTGTGGATTCTGTCTATTGAACCCTTGATAGGTCACATCTGCTCCTGAGTGAGTTTAAGTTGCCAGCATTTATTTTATCATCAAAAGATGACTGCAGTGAAACTAATATAAGTTAAGTAAACATCTTGTTTTGTCTTTTACAATTCATAACCAAACAACGTATCAAATAAATTGCTTTTAGCTCAAGGCATTACCATTGAGAATGGGTTAGAGCTGATTCACAAAATAGATTGTTGTGTATTGAAATTTAACATTGATATAGAGAATCAAAACCCTAAAACGTAATTAACCAAAGCTCGGCCTTCGGCGACCATTAGCAGCAGCAAGATCTCAAGGCGATTGCTGGGTTTCAAGCCTTTTCGATGAACTTGGGCTAGATCCTTACTTGTTTGGTCTGGTATGTTTTGGCTGTTGTTACTCGCTTGGTCCTGTTTTAGAAAATGACCTTTTTTTCCCCCTTCTTCCATTGCAGACGAAAAAACGGACTGTTCCCTTTCTCTTTGTCAGAGGAGACGGGGTCATCCTTGTTTCACCTCCCTTAAGAACAGCTTGATTTAGTTACTTCTATTGGGAAATCAATTGTTGGACATTTAACAAATCTCACTCTCCGTTATTCTACTTTTAAATTTCTAAATGAATGAGATTTTTTGAATGGCAACTACGTAGGATCAAATTTCCAACTGTTCTTTGATGCAGCCAAAAGAATGGTATGTTAAGGGACTAGTCTCTATCCACCCTTTTGTTTTCTGTCCCGCAGTCGGAAGTATGATCTCAATATGGACGTGCGAGTGAGGCAATTTTTTTACTGTTGGACAATATAGTCTCATTTAAGTTAGTCCCCTCACTTACCAAACATGGGTTTCAAGTACAATTTAACCCAGTCCAGTCCAGTGAGGCCTTCCAAACATGCCCTAAGTGACTAGTCTCTATCCACTCTTTTGTTTTTTGTCCCGCAGTCGGAAGTATGATCTCAATAAATTCTTGCCCAGCCCCAGTCTTTAAAACAATTCAGAGGGTTTAGGCCATCCTCGCTTCAGCCAAAAAGCTGGGGAATTGGTCAGCTCAAGGGTCACCTAATTTGTGGCTGAGATTTGATTCCAACGGAAATCTAAAGGCTGCCATTCAAAGCAACCAACGGTAACTAAACAAAACATATATTTAATCTAATGGCTATTGATTTGGACCGCCCAGATTTGAAGTTGAATGCAATACAAGAGCTGAAATTTGAAGGGCTGCAACGGCTAGCAGTCAGAATTTCTGCAATTTTTTCCCTTCTTTTTAACGGCTATTTCAACAACTTTTCCTATATATATGTCAAACTCATTTCACACAATTTTCACATCTATGTTTATTTACCTTGCTCATTCACAAAGGGTTTTTTTCTTGTCCTTCTACTCTCATTTTACTTGCACCAATGGGAGATGACGAAGAAGGTTCCAATAAAAATGGTGCAAATTGCTCCATCCACGAAGATGTAGCTCTATGCCGAGCCTCAACTATGACGTCTCCAATGCCTACTCCCAATTCTCTCAACGATAACGAATCGATGGAGTCTGTTTCGGTAACCCAAAATGTCCCAGAAACCGCAAACCTCCTTCGAAGGCCTAGTGGAAACAAAAAGGCTAAAGAACAAAAAAGAAGGGATATTATGCATGATCTCATTGATCAAGGTAATGCTATGGCTAAAGTCATAAAGTCTTACAAAGAAAGTTATGACAAGAACAAAGAGTTTAAGGTTATGATTATGGAAACTTCTACAATTGAAACTCCGGCTAGAAGAGCCAAAGTTAAAGAGAAACAAAAGGAGATTATGGCGAAACAAGCCTCCCGTTGTCTGAACTTTGACGATGACATCTATCATCCCAAACCGCCACCGGATGACTCCTAGAAAGGAGTGATTATCATGGATTTGTTTTATTGTATGTTATTATAGTTTGTTCAAATTTCAGGGCATGTTCGAAGTTTAAGAAGTAAAGTGTTGTTATTTCGTGTCATAAATGAATGGTTATGGGGCTGCCTCGGCGAGATCATCCACCACAAGATACACATTAAGGTGTAGAAGACTTGGCATTGCCATCACAATCATATGTGAAGAATTATGAATGTCTTCAAAATCTCCCAATATCTTCCCGGTCGCAAAGAGAGCTTGAAGGATCTCTAAACATCCTTACGATAAACCTCTTGCATTCTAGAGAATAATTTTATTTTTATTTTATAGTCTTTGAGGCTCTGAAATTGATTGGGCGATAATGGTCCATTTGGGATATATACATCTGTAAGATAGTATCCGTGCTTGTATTCTCTATTATTAATATTAAGGGTGCAAGTTGGATTGGAAATTTCGATTCCGATTGATTTCAATCCGAAAACTTCCAATTTTGGTGAGTACAAATCAATTAGGACATTTGAAAGTTCCAAAATCTGAAAATTCTGAATTTTTTTATATTAGAATTGAAATGTATCTCAAATTTTCAAGTTCGGAAATATTTTGAGGGTTCAAGTTTAGACTACATAATGACTAATTTCATGTTAAACTAAATATAATTTAATAACCAAATAGATATAGACAAGTTATTTTATAAAGACTAACAACAGTGGGCGGAACCACCTACAAGGTTTTTGAAGATTTTTTTAAAACCTATTGTAGCCTGTGTTGTTTTTAAAGAAAATAAAATTAAACCTATATAACCCACCAACTTGCCGCTCCCACTTGTGGTTGGGGCCCTCATTTTGTGGTCTCAAGCAGTTTACTCTAGATTATATAATGTAGTAGAAAAAAATTGTTTATATATTATTATTTTGGGTTCAAGTTTAGACTACATAATGACTAATTTCATGTTAAACTAAATATGATTTAATAACCAAATAGATATAGACAAGTTATTTTATAAAGACTAACAACAGTGGGCGGAACTACCTACAAGGTTTTTGAAGATTTTTTTAAAACCTATTGTAGCCCATGTTGTTTTTAAAGAAAACAAAATTAAACCTATATAACCCACCAACTTGCCGCTCCCACTTGTGGTTGGGGCCCTCATTTTGTGGTCTCAAGCAGTTTACTCTAGATTATATAATGTAGTAGAAAAAAATTGTTTATATATTATTATTTTTACTATTTCCTCCCTCGGAAGCAACGGTAGTTTTATTGGAAGGTCAACTGTTGACTTTTGATAGCGGTGCACCATTTTTCCATGCAAAGTCACACGTGCTGAATGTAACTAACTAAATAAATGTGAAGCACCAGATGTACAGCCAATAGCTGAATAGCATAAGATCCACGGTTGAAATGGCGAGACAGCATGGATCGTAGTACCGATGCGTAGCATCTGATCTCCCACCTTCCTTCGATCCTTCCTCTCAACTCAACGACTCGATCAGGAGGAGGAGCCCCTGAGAAATCAAAATTCAAAAGTAATACCAGAGAGAGTGAGCCCCTGAGATCTGCTTTGGTTCTGTAGTTCTTCCATGGGGTTGTGTTAAGGCGGTGGAGATAGTGAGGCTTCGATGGACGTGGAGAGGTCGTCGTTGTGCAATTGCGTTGTGAATTTTCTGCTGGAGGAGAACTACTTGCTCACGGCGTTCGAGCTGCTCCATGAGCTTCTCGACGATGGCAGAGACAACCAGGCCATTCGACTCAAGCACTTCTTCGCTGACTCTTCTCAATTCCCACCCGATCAGATCTCTCGCTTCAACTCTATTCGAGGTTTGTACGATACACTCTCCCACACGCACTTCTAAATCTGTTTGAATTGGTTAATTGCAAATTGTCTTTGTTCTGTTTAGTTGCTGAGAAAATGTTGGGAAATGTGGGGAGCATTAGAGTGGAATTTAGTTTTCTGCTCTGTTTTCTTGGAATTTTCAATGGCATCAAAATGGCGCGCTTGTGATCTTTTACTTGTTCTGCTTTTGAAGGATACTTCTATCTCTTTTAGTGTTTGGGGGTCAATGAAATTTTTGGCTTCGAAACCTTATTGTTGATGGCATTTTATGTCGAAAATGGAATTTGATTTTGTTACTAGTTAATGAACTGAAGAAGTGTTAGGAATGCTTTCGGTCATGTATCCAAATGGGTTACTTGAACCATCAAATAGCAGCACTTCATAAAGGAGCTGGTATGGCGAATTGAGAAAGCATTTAGTTCAGAAACTTATCAATTTAGTGGAACTATACTTTCTGCAGAAAATAAATGACTTAACATATTTCAATAATGCAACCATAAGTATGAGTATGTTGTGGATGCATAATTGTATTCCCTCTCTTTTCAGCTGCAAGGGCTGAGATGTGAATATCTGTTTCTTTGTTCTGGAGTCATATAGAGTTCTCTCTCTCTCTGTGTCATTTCTGTCAAGAGGAACTGTACTTGCTTCTTGGTTCCCTTTTCAATGGCCCACTTGGATTCTCACTCATAAGAAACCTTATATTTCAACAAAAATAAGATTTGTTAGAATTAGTATAATGAGTTTTGGTTGCTGAGGTATATCCTCAGTCAGAGAAACTCAAAGAAGAATATTGAAGGACTCTTTGTTTAACAAGTTTACCACCCCAGCCCCAGGCCAAATTTTACAAAGAAAGAGAAGTTTGCAAGATAGGAATCCCGTCAATTTTGTGCATGATGCAGCCTGTAAGTGAAACGGCAAAGGGCATCAAGAGGGGAGGGGTGGGGCTGGTGCCGTATTGTGGATTTGTGCTTCCAAAGCATCAGAGACTCTTTTTAGTGAAAAATGAAAGCAATTTCAAAGCTTCGTTTAGAGAAGTGCACAACAGTGGAACAGAAAGCCAATACAGCCTACGACAACAATTTCAACAGCCAAGGAAAACAAAAAGGCCCTAAACTGTAAACATCACACAAACAAGACCAACAAGCCTACTAACAGAAAGTTAGGTTGATGCAGGACAGCTTGAACAGAGAGGACAAAATAACGAGATCCGGACTCACTCTGGCCTTTGGCATCGCACCAAAGGTGTCAAGTTGAGAAATTAGAAAAACTCTGGCCTTTGGCATTGCACCGAAGGTGACTTGGAATCACTCCAAGACAAATTGTGCCACACACAAGCAGGAATTCTCAAGAACTTTTATCTTTCACTAACTCTGATTTTAAGCTTACAAAGTAGCCCCTTTTATAAGGTAATTGGTAAATGAATCTGGAAAGGTCCACATTAATACACTTGGGAATTTTAAGGACGTAATTATTAGACCTAATACATTAATCATGTGACATAGGAAGACTCAAAGACATTAAGCCTGCAGAAATTGCATTTATTACGTAGGAAACGAGAAAGACTCTCCTTTACTAAACTTTGAACTTTGCTCCTGCATTATAAGGGGAAAAAAGCCTAAATTGAACTTTCTCAATACCATGGCAGAACTCATTTACAAATGTTTTATCCTAGTTTACTTTCTCACATCTTAATTGTAGTGATGATGATATCATAATTTCGTAATGTGATTTTACTTGTCATAGTCTTCATGTCTCTGCTTGATTAACTGATAATTTGAACTTGATAAGGAAAACTTTTTGAACATTTTTAATGCTTGTCAGTCACTCCAGAAATCTCGATACTTAATATTCCTTTTTGGAACATTACTAATGTTTTTTTGCTTTCTACTGCTTTCATTTCTTAATGCAGTTGCAGATCCTCAAAGTTTGCTAGAAGAGAAAGAGGCAGTAGAAGAAAAATTAGCAATTAGTGAATATGAGCTTCGTTTAGCCCAAGAGGACATTTTGAAACTGAAGACTGAATTGCAGAAGAAAGTTGAATCACCTGTAAATGAATCAAGAGGTAATTTTTCCATCTGTGCAGAATCTCAAATTGTATTCGTATGTTTGTTTCTGCTTCCAATATGATACATCTTTCTGTATCCACTATGATTTGTTAGCTCAATAATTTTTACTTAGTAACCATGCATTTATAAAGAATCGATGGCTTATGATTATTTAACATATCTTGTCATGAAGACCGACCATAAAGCCATATCCTGAACACGGACATCCTTGCCTGTTCTTAGTTGTACTAGATTTCAGTTTTCTAGAAAACCATGCTAAAAATGCATGTCAATGCTGGAGACTTACCCCTTTTTTTTTCCCTCTTGCTGATTCATTGAAGTTGTATTTTTGAGAATCAGCATTAGACCTGTAGACAGTGGAAAACCAGAGATACACTGTATATACAATAGTTTCTTTACTAGTAAAGCACAAAAGATTTTGTTCCATGACTTTCTCCTCAGGTTTGGATTCAGGTTCAAATTCCAGGGTTTCTGTAAATAATGGACCAGAATTTCAGCGGCAAAAGAGAGATGTTTCCTTCTCTCATTTGGGTCCATTGAAAGATAATGAACGCAGAGATCTTAACTGTGCTGTAAAAGAATATTTGCTTATAGCAGGGTACCGGCTTACTGCAATGACGTTTTTTGAGGAGGTATGGATCACTATAAATGCTTAGTTGTCTTTTTCTCTCGTTGCCTCTAATGTCTCGTTTTCTTCCTATCCTTTTATCCCCAGTATTTATATAGGAGGCGGGATGACTTCTTATTTGTGACACACATGCTTATTGAATTCAACTACCATTAGTAGTTTATTGGCCCCGAATTGTAAACAGGTGGTCTTGCAAGGGAAACTAGACAACACATATAAACAAATTGTACTGGATTTAATATGTACGTGCAAACTAAATTAAAAGTATATTGCAATTAGAATTCTACATTAGTTAGAAATATTTTGTTTCCTAGGGGTTTTAGTTGTTGAGTTTGGTGTTAAAGTTTATTGGGTTATTGATACTTCCTTGTAGAGATTTAAAATATATTCGTTTTGTTTTGAGGTCCATCTTGTTGGTGAGGCACATGATTTCCACCTTAGTCCTTTTGGAAGACATCAATTGATTTGGCGGAGGTGTCTTGAGAGTATTGAAGATGAAAAACTAGTTATATGTTTAATTATCACTTGGTGTAATACCTTCTCTATCTCTTTCTTTGACTTAACGATGATGAATAACTAGTTATACTTTTTATAAAAAAATTTATGTTGGTTAAGCTTAAAATTACTGCCGTGAGTGAAGAACCGAGTAGTGCTCATGGATTAAAACTTCCTGCTCACGGATTGAGTTGCTTGTTATTTAAGTAATGGAAGCTTTCTAACATTGTAACAGCAGCAGGCTTAATTTATTTTATCAATAAAAAAAAGCAAATAGGTTTTAGAAAAACAAGTTCTAATAAAAAGAAAATTAAAACGTTTTACTAGATAGGATTTGATTTTGATCTGTTTATTGCAGTAAGCAGTGGCATTGAACAAATTTTTTAGGAATTATGCCACTAGGTTGACCTATTTGGAGGCCCATTAGATTTCTAAACCTTTGCATCAGGTGAATGTTGTGTGATTGTCACTTTGTGTGTGTGGCTATGTTGACATGTTATCATACCCTGTTTGACTAATCTTCAAATGTTTTGATAACCTATCAATACATTCTCCCCAGGTCACAGACCAGAATCTAGATGTTTGGCAGGACTCACCTGCATGCGTGCCAGATGCTTTGCGCCATTATTATTATCAGTATCTTTCATCCACTACAGAGGCTGCTGAGGTATTTCTTGAAACATGTGATGTTGGAAAGTGCTGAAATCTATAAAAATTACGTCTTTCACCATGCTTCACCTAGCTTGTTAGACAGGGGCTTCAACGTTTTGCAGTACTTCTGCTTTCTTACACCTGGCCTGTGGCATGTTTTCTGTATGTTTTAATCACTCAGGGATAGGCTTAATATTTAGAATGCAGTTATTCATCAATAATTCTATGAACGTAATGCCTTTTACACCAAGCTTGTTGGAGAAAGGATTCAATGTTGTTCACCTTGCCTCTGCTTTCTTGCACCTGAACTGTGGCCTGCGGCATGTTTGTTGTATGCTTATCACTCAGTGGAGGACAAATAGGCTTAGTCAATTGTAATTAAATTCATATGATTGTTTGGTTGTTATACAGAAAAATAAAAATGATTAAGAGACATTCCTGCATATCCTTTAAAATATAATCATGCAGCATCATAAATTAATGTATCATTAAATGCTGAGTGTTGCTAATTCAATCAAATAATCCAGGTTAAGCACTTTGGAAATCTGAGATTACTACCACAACTAAACTCATCTCTTTTACTTTGTGATGTCTTAAAGAGATTAGTCTTTTTTTATGCAAATTATTTTTCTAAAACCTTGGGCTATGAGCATATTGATTTGTAGATCTGTGGGCTGAGGTTTTTTCCCCTTATGTTTGCTCATAAATACTTACAGTGTAGATTTGAATACCTAGATTGCCTTGATGCTTCTCGTCTTAAAAAGTTACTTAGTTACATTATTGATACTTGTGAATTCTACTTTTTGCTTTTCCTAAATTCAACATAAATTTTCTATGTTCAGGAGAAAATTACCATGCTACGAGAAAATGATTCGTTATTGAAAGAAAAAGAGACTTTGTATCATGAAAAGCTGTGCTTGCTTAAAAACAAAGATTTGGCTGAAGGTCAAATCAGTACACTAAACAAATCGTTGGAAGGTCTGCAGAAGGACCTTAAAGATAAAGAGAACCTTGTAAGCCCCCTTACCTACACCGCATTCTGAGCTTCTATCCAATGAAGATTCATATGTAAGAAAATAACACACCCTTTGTTTCAGGTACAGAATTTGAAGCAGTCCCAGGAGCACCAAAGGAAGGAGCTCAATGATTGTAGAGCTGAAATCACTGCTTTGAAAATGCATATTGAAGGATATCGTTCTGGACGGAATATGGTAGCTGCTGATGCTGATCATGTCCAATCCCTATCCTTGGAAAGATACAGGGAAGAAGTAAAATCACTGCAGATGGAACTAGAAAGTTTAAAATCCAAACACGCAAAAGCTCCTGATTTTTCAGATTCCACCAATTCTGAGAAAGAGTCTGTGCAAATGGAAGAAAAAGTCGTTGTCATGGATGAAGATAAAAGTCTAATCCCGCATCCAGTTGATGTAGTATCAAGAGTTGTGGAAAAGGAATATGATCAATCTCTGCCTGCTCAAACTTTTGATGACAATATAGTTACACCTGAGGAAATTCCACAAGAGTTTTCGGTGGCTCCTTTGAATGATAGCAGTACCTTGGTCAATGATGAAAGTGTCTCCAAACAAAATAACGAACCATCATCAGGCGGAAGGCTACATCTAGCGTCAGAGGATCTTAGTGCTGGAATTGTTTCCGAGAAAAGGGCAAGTTCCTTGTACCTTTCTTTTAGGGCATCAAAGCCTTTACTGCAGGACTGGATCAGAAATGTTTTTCTTCTTCCAGGGTTGGCTGGGGGAATCCCTTTTGTTTTGTTTTGTTTTTTTTTTGGAACGCCCATCTAATTGGAACGCCCATCTAAATTCTAAATAATAGAACTTCTTATATATAATGATTTTTAAAAGCTTTGGAATCCCGCCCGTCCCCTCTGTTTCTTTATTTTTTCTTTTAAAGTTATGCTTGTACTTTGACAGGGCCTAGAGACCATTCAGATCCTTGCTGATGCTTTGCCCAAGATTGTTCCTTATGTTTTGATCAACCATCGTGAGGTTTGGTTCTTCCTTTCTTTTCATAATATACATACATACATATATATACATATATATTTATATATATTACAGAGTTCTTAATTGGACAAGACGCTCATTCTTTAAGAGAGAACGGATGGGTTAAGAAAACCTCACTTCTGCTCAATTTTCTTCAGCTTTGTTAGCCATTTATTCACATGGTCGATTACTTTTAGATGTAGAATCACCATTTAGAGCTTAGGTTTAGGTTTTAGTCATGGATTATCTTGTCGTCTAGATTTTAGGTTCTAAAGGGTCATTTTATATCCTAAAGAATCAACCCTGTCACTTTAATGGAATAAAGTTGAAAAACTTGAGAGTACATGAGATTTTTTTGATGCGATCATCCTTTAAGAAAGAACAGACATTGTGCAGAGAGAATCTCACATATATTATATGTATGTGTATGTATTTATATAAATATGTATCATATGTATGTATATGGATCTTTAAAGAGCTTACTGGTATTATCTATTTACAGGAGCTTCTTCCTCTGATCATGTGTGCGATTGAGCGCCATCCAGATAGCAGCACTCGAGATTCCTTGACCCACACATTGTTTAATCTAATCAAACGTCCAGATGAGCAACAAAGAAGAATTATAATGGATGTAGGCTGTTAGTTGAAGTACTTCATTTATTTGTAAATAGCTGCTTTGTTTTTTACTTGTTCCTGAATCTTCTAACTGGATTTCAGGCATGTGTTACCCTTGCTAAGAATGTAGGAGAGATGAGAACAGAAACAGAATTGCTTCCCCAGTGTTGGGAACAAGTAAGTTTGAGCCTAAATTTTGTAGGGGTGGTCATCTTTAACCATTCTGTCATTTTGATAGCTTTGACGGATTTCTCGTTTATGGGTTGCAGATAAATCATATGTATGAGGAGCGCAGGCTGCTAGTTGCTCAATCATGTGGACAGCTTGCAGAATTTGTTCGGCCCGAGATTCGTGATTCTCTTATTTTGTCTATTGTTCAGCAACTCATAGAAGATTCTGCGACTGTTGTCCGGGAGGCTGCTGCACATAATCTTGCATTGCTGCTTCCACTCTTTCCGAACATGGACAAATATTTCAAGGTCAGCCTCACTAATATGCTTCAGAGGCTCTCATGGAGAGGAATTCTGACTTGACAGAAATGGCTACAATGTAAGCTCTAGAATAGGTTGATGGAACATCGTCTAGGGAATGGAGACTTTCTCCTTATCATGACATGATAAATGACAAGAAAGATGTATAAAGTCAACAAGGATACTTTTTTCCATTATTTTACTGTATTTTATTTATTTGTAGGTTGAGGATTTGATGTTCCAATTGGTATGTGATCCCTCTGGAGTGGTGGTGGAAACTACACTTAAGCAGTTAGTTCCTGCAGTAAACAAGTGGGGAAACAAATTAGACCATATTTTAAGAGTTCTACTCTCTCATATATCAAGCTCTGCTCAGGTATGTTTTTGTTTAACTATATTTTCTCATTCATGACTGAGGTAATCTATTCCTTGTTTATAATAGTTTCTTTTATTTACATCATTGTGACATTGCAGCGTTGTCCTCCCCTTTCGGGCGTTGAAGGGTCCGTGGAGTCACATCTTCGTGTTTTAGGTGAACGAGAACGCTGGAATGTTGATGTTCTACTACGGATGCTAATGGAAATGCTTCCTTTTGTGTACCAGAAAGCAATTGAGATGTGCCCAATTGCTTCTGATCCGGAAACAACTGGAACAATATTTTCTACGTCTTTCTTTGAATTGTATGCAAGGTAAGGTCCATTTTTCTTCTTTAACTTCAATTATCTCATATTTCTTTTGAGTTCCTCTTATATCTTCTGACAGAGCATAACCTTATGACTTTTTGTATTGAGATAATGATATTGATAAATGAGAAAGACTTGTTTACTATAACTGCTTGTAATAACTGCTTATAATAAATTTTATTATCTGGGTAGGGGACATGCTCAATTGCCTGCATTTGAGTGGCTGCATGTCGACTGTTTTCCTGCTTTGATACAGCTTGCCTGCTTGTTACCTCCAAAAGAAGATAGTTTGCGAAACCGAACCACCAAGGTATCTTCATTCTATCTTTGATGGACTTTAATATTACCTCATTAACAGTGCTTCTATGAATTGTTTCTGACCTAGATGTTGGTAATGCAGTTCTTGTTGGCTGTATCAGAACACTATGGGGATTCTTATTTGACACACATAATGCTGCCTGTATTCCTGGTAGCCACTGGGGATGACGCTGAGTTGACATTTTTCCCATCTGCAATCCATTCCAGAATCGAAGGTAATCTCACGGAAATGTTTTAAAACCCTTTCACACCAGTGTGCGATCTTTAATTGTGGCTATAATCTACATAACAGGTTTGAGACCAAGAACGGCTGTGGCTAAGAGACTGGCTACTATGTGTGTCCTACCTATTCTCTTAGCTGGTGTTTTGGGTGCCCCTAGTAAGCATGAGCAGTTAGTGGAGTACCTAAGAAAGCTATTAGTTGAAGGTGTGACAAATCAATCTACAAAGTGCAATGCTGAGATTGTTGATGCTGTTCGCTTTCTTTGGTTAGTAAAGCAATAAACACCCTTTGAAAACTAATTTTTCTTAATTATAAGTTATTTCTTACTGATTGGCCTTTTTCCATAATGCAGCACTTTTGAAGAACATCATGGTATGATATTTAACTTACTATGGGAAATGGTTGTCAGCTCCAATATAGATATGAAGATCAATGCTGCCAATCTGTTGAAAGTCATTGTAAGCCTAGCCATTCTCTTAGAGTACTCATTTTTTCATGTGTCTGACTTTAAAACCAACAATTAATTGGCTGCATCCATTTAATAGGTTCCATATATCGATGCAAAAGTTGCATCTACTCATATTTTGCCTGCCCTAGTTACTTTGGGCTCTGACCAAAACCTGAGTGTGAAGTATGCAAGCATAGATGCCTTTGGAGCTGTGGCCCAACATTTTAAAAATGACATGGTACAAATTTTTTTCCTTTTGCAATCAATAAATTAGCTATCTTAATGGAATAGTTTTCATTTATCTGGCTGATCCAATTGAAACCTCCCAGATTGTTGATAAGATACGTGTTCAAATGGATGCGTTTCTTGAAGATGGATCACATGAAGCTACCATTGCTGTGGTTCGTGCATTAGTGGTTGCTGTACCACATACAACGGATAGACTTAAAGATTATATCCTTTACATACTTACTGAAGAATTATAATTAGCGCATTTTCAGCAAAGTATTCATATGCGCACTCATTATTCCTCAATCGTTGTGCAATTTTCTACTGGATCCACTTTTTAATTGTCACTTCTTTAACATTATATACATCTTTTATCCAAGATTTTTCAACTTACAGCCACTCCGCCTGCAAGTGACTTGATGCGCCGTCGTGAGAGAACCAATGCATTTTGTGAAGCAATTCGTGCTCTGGATGCAACAGGTTTGCTTCTTCTTCTTTTTTCGCAGACCAAAATGTTATTTTTGTTGTATTGGTGTTTATTTCTCTTCCCTTTCTGTTTCACAGACCAGAATTATGGTGTTTATTTTATTGCTGGTTTTACATTTTCTAACGAACTAATAAGGAACCAAAAGTAGGGGAGAAAGCATGTGTAAAAACAGAGGGTGCCCTGACAACTCCCACCTTTGCCAGATTTCCGAACTTTAGCTTTCCTAGAATTCCAAGCTAGTTGGAATTATGTGTGCAGACTTTCGTTAACCTAAAATTATGTTAAATTGTCAGCAAAGTTTATATTTGCATAGATCTATTTTTCAAGTTTTTAAATGTGTTATTGATATCAAGTGGCAAATGTGTTTAATTAATACAGATGTTTCAGCAAATAGTGTACGGGATTTCCTCCTGCCTGCCATACAGAACTTGTTGAGAGACTATGATGCGCTGGATCCTGCACACAAGGAAGCCCTTGAAATTATAATGAAGGAGAGATCTGGTGGAACTTTTGATACTATCAGTAAGGTGATGGGGGCTGGGCTTGCATCATCTGTTACTAGCTTCTTTGGTGAAGGTGGGTTACTGGGTAAGAAAGAAAATGCTGAGCTATCACCAGAGCCAGTTGAGTCTCCGAAGGCTGCACCAATGCCACCAGTCGAAGACACTAGGTTAAGGCGCATCATGCGTGGAAATTTCACTGACATGCTCAGAGGCAAAGCAAAGGGCGATGAAACTTAGAACCAATAAAGTTGAGTTGTTACTGAAAGGGGTGGCTGAGTTTATTTTGCATCTCGCCATCTCAGGTGAAGATCATTTTGTTCTCAATATCAAGGTTGTGATCTGCTGAAAACAAGGAATTCTTTTATTTTTTGGTGTCATAGAAAAAAGGGTTTAAGAAGGGAAGAGCAAATTTGTACTGCATTTTTATTGTTCTGGTTTTTTAGTGTAGAAATTGGATTGATCAACCAATTGAGTTTAGTGGATAGTTCAGAACACATCATCTTGATCCTGAGCTCTTCGCTGTTGCTGGCGGTTATGTAAACCCAGGCTGCATGTTTTATACCTTTGATAAGTTATATACCCAAATTTCATAATAATAAAGTCATTGTTGTTGAGTTTCAAATTTGACGAGTTTATCTTCACCTCACGGCCCTCACCTCAATGTGTCTGCCAGTGGTCTAGTTCCTAGTTTGACCCTAGGCTGCTTTGCCAATTCAATAAAAGGTTTGTTGATTTGTTTATGCATATATTCTTTCTATACGAACGTTATGGCAAACGAAGGGAACTAAACACATAAAATGTTCGTTAACCACTTGAATTATAAGCTGTTTGCTTTGTTTATGTTTTCGTAATTGTGTCCTGATTTTAATTTTTGACCTGTGGGCATTGATGAGATGGTAAGTCTTCACGTGGAGAAGAGGATATTTTTCTGCTGGTCTATCAATAGAGGAAACTTAGCAAGCCTTGTAGCACACAAATTTTTAATTTTGTTTCCATCAACAATTGCACTTAAATATTTGTCTCATATTATAGCCATTCACATTACTCACTACCTAATATATCCATTTATACTGTATTTAAGGGAATTATATACCTTTTTTTTTATTTTTGTCAACAAGGGAATTATACCTAATTACACCAAATAGTTTTTTTTATTTTTTATTTATATAATGTAATGTTAGATTTTTAACTCCTTACAAACTCACTTTTTCTCCCGCATCCCAAGGGAATGTTTGATATCCTACTCAAAAAAAGGAACTCAAAATTCATTATTTTTTTAAAAAGGAACTCAAAATTTCTCTCTCATTTTTCTCTCACAACCTTATCTGTGATCTACACAACCATAGCATGCGTCTATATGTTTAGTATTACTACCCTTGAAGTAAACAAACCTCACATCACAAGCATTAAAATTTCCAAAATAAAGATCATTTGGCGTTATCATTCCAACCAATACCCACTTCAAATTTTCTCTAATATGGTATAATGGACTCGCATTAATTAGGAGCTCTCTTTTTTCAAGAAAACTCACATTAATTAACATCATACGTATTTTATAGTCACATTAATGTTCACAAGCATTATATTCTCATGTTCCCTGATGAGACCACCGGTCAATGTGAGACCTTGACCCTAGAGGGTGCGCGGTTACAATAAGAATCAAAATGAAGACTTGATTGAGGTATGGAAAAACAAAAAGTTATGTCGATGATATACTTTGATTTATGGGAGCTTTAGTTTCAGACCTAATAGTCGGGCCTCTAGAAATTCAATTGAAAATTACAAAGCCCATTTTCAAATACAAAACAACATTCAAAACACCTATAAATTACAACATTACCACCAATAGAAGCCCAACCCAAGCTTCATTGAAAAAACCTAAACTAAATTATAAAAGTGTAAATTGATCCAACGGTTAAGAGATAAAACCTCATTTAAGGGTCATATATTAAGCTTCAAAAACCCACAATGAATCATGCCACACTTTTTTAATCAGGCCCATACCCAACTTTAAAAAAACCCAAACCACAACATAGCCCAAACAAAAAAAAAAAACCAACACAAAACAAAAGAACCCAAACAAGGATCCATATAGAAAGGGCAATTATTTTAAAAAGGGCAAGTTAAATAAATAAAAAAATAAGGGCTGTTTGGTATTCTACTCAAAAAAAATGAACTCAAAAATCATGATTCTTTTACAAAATATGAGTTTTCAAATACAAGATTTAAAAATTTGTTTGGTATTAAACTTCATACCTATTTTTAAAAGCAGAGAAGAAGCCTAGGACCTCTATTTCTACCTCTCTCTTTATCTAATGAACCAACGAAAATTAGGGTTATCGAGATCTAGGCCATTGACATCGTTGTCTTTCATCAGAATGGTCTCAATCTTGCTGATCCAATATGGGGTGAGTTCAATGGAGCCTCCTCCACCGTTGATGACTCAATTGATGGTTAGAGAGAGACGGGAGAGGGAGGAGAGAGAGAGAGATGGGAGGCCTCCACCGTTGATGACTCAATTGATGGTTAGAGAGAGACGGGAGAGGGAGGAGAGAGAGAGAGATGGGAGGGGAAAAACAAAAACTCATCCCCAAATTGAATATCTTCATAATATTGATGCTAGAAGTGGGTCTATAACTGAAAAAACTAAGGGCTCATTTGCTTCTCTAAGAAGTACTTATGCTCATAAGCACTTCTAACAAAATCGCTTTTATTAGAAAAATTTTGAATTTTCATAATAATAAAAAATCCCAAGTGCTTTCTGAAAAAGCACTTGGGAGTGCTTCCTGAAGAGTTTTCTAAACTTTTCTGTCAAACGCTATCAGATATACTTTTAAGTATCAGAAAGTGTTTTTAACCTTTCCGAAAGCACTAAAGGCGGTATGCATGACCTGAGTAGCCCCATCCCACTAGACTAAACAAGTGGGTTCCAGCAATTCGTCGCCTCCGAGTAGAGGCCCAATCAGAGGTCAACAAGTAGATATTCATGAGTGTCTTCTGCGTGGCCCACTGGTAATCATGCGCATCATCTTAATGGGATGATAATCAATATTCACAAGTGGTGGGCATTGGCAATTTGTCACGTCCCAAGCAATATTAATTTTTATTGCTCTGGCTTTTTAGTGTAGAACTTATTGGATTGATTGAATTTAGTCGTAGGTCAGAAAACATCAACTTGATCCTGAGCAGCTAAGCTCTTCGCCATTGCTGGCGATTATGTAACCAATTGAATTTAGTCGTGGTCTAGTTCCTAGTAGCTGACCCTAGCCTGCTTTGCTAATTCAATAAAAAGTTTATTGGTTTGTTTATACATATATTCTTTCTATACGAAAGATATCGTAAAAATGAGGGAATTGAACACAGAACATAACCACTTGAGCTCAAGCTTGTTGCTTTGTTTATGTTTTCGTAAATGTGCATGGATTTTAATTTCCAGACCCTGCGCCTTAATCTTAGAGACGGCCACAGCTTCTCTTCAATTTTGTTTGGTGAAAAGAATTTTGTGTTTTCCACCCCAAAATTCAACCACACCCTAATAAAAGTCTATTGCTGCCAGTATAATTCCTCCAGTTTGGGCAGTTCTCCTCTAACTTGCAAGACCCCAATGGTATGAGTTCTTCTGCTTTAAGAATATGTATATTCCACTTTCAAGCAGGTTGTTTTCAACTCAGAGGCACCAATTTCTTTCCAAATTAATCATCATATATATAGTTAGGGGTATATCAACTTTCGGTCTCACTTTCTTTTTATTATTATTTACTTCTTTTGGTCTCACAAGCTTTCTGTAGTTGGGAAATATTCCTTGTGCATCGTCATATTATCATTAGAGGAAACTTAGAAAGCCTTGTAGCACAACTTTTCTTTATTTCTGTTCCATCAATAATTGCAATTTAATATTTGTCTCATACTCTACCCAATCACATTACTCACTACCTAATAGCTTGCACATAGAATCTCATTTTTAGGTCTTTAGGTGAACGGGTCTGCTACTACCTAATATATCTTCTTCTTCTTCTTTATTTTTCGTTCGTGCATCTAATATTTCCATTTACACTATCTTGAGAGAATTATATCCCTAATACAATTTACAATAAATAATTTTTTTTTAATTATATGTAATTTAAATTTACTGTTAGATTTTTAATTACTTACAAACCCACTTGTTTTTTTCTCATTTTTCTCACTCCACTATCTTCTACCTACACAAGCATAGCATGTTTCCCATATTTTTAGTATTGTCTTTGAAGTAAAACAAACCTCACACACAATCATTTTCCAAAATAAAGGACCATTTGGCGTTATCTTTGCAAGCAATCATGTTATGCCACTTCAAAAAATTTCTCTGATATGTCTGTTTTTCAGGAAGACTCTTATGTTGCTCACTTTGTCCATGTGACTCACTTTGTCCTCATATTACAGAGTGGGTCACACTGATTCATTGCAATGCGGGACCCCATCACTAAACTACCCTTTTTCTGCAGCTTAAACTACTAAACTCACCTTCCTCCAAGAGAATTTGCGTGTGACACCACATGACATGACAACATTTGTATTGGATTTAGCATTAACCACGCCATTTAGAGTTTGATTTCTCATGTTTCCTTTCCCATGAACCAAACAGGGCCTATAGGTATTGTATAATTACGTCGACATGTCAGGTTGTATTACGATCACGACAAAAGAACTCATGACAATCAGCCACTTAAGCTTTACCCTCCAGCACGGCATTACCTTCTCCCTCATATAAATTGTGCAGTAAGGCCCTTCCCAAATGCACCATTCTCTAATCTATCTCTCTCTTTGAATATAAGTAATTAAATAATTAATAGATATATAATTTTAAGATGATGAAGTTGTCATGCTGTGGTGTGGGGCTGTGTGTTGTGGTGATGATGGCAATGGTGCTAAGTGAAGAAGCAAGGATGGCAGAGGCAGTGACATGCAGCCCATTGGAGTTGAGCTCATGCTTGGAACCAATTAGGTCTGGGACACCTCCTTCAACCACATGCTGTCAGAAACTGAGGGAGCAGAAGCCTTGCCTTTGTGGATATCTCAAAAACCCAGCTCTCAAGCAATATGTCAGCAGCCCCACCGCCAGAAAAGTTGCTTCTACCTGTGGTGTTCCCTTCCCTCAATGCTAAATTAATTACCAATATTAATCACCCCTTAATACTTATATATAAGTAATAAGAATGATGACTTCATTATAATGTCATTGTTCAAGACCATCAATCATGGCACTATCAATGGTGCCCGGAGAAAAAAGGGATGTATGTTATATGATTAAAGAAAATAAATAAATGGCAGTGTAATTGACTTATGAAATATGTGGTTTTGCTTCATTTAGGTTGGCTCTATTTGAATTTCGTTTTTTATGAAGTCAATTCGGTGGCTCATAGATTAGCTTGATTTGCTGTGACTTTATTTCAAGCACTAATGTGGTATGAGGACCCTCCGAAAATCATCATGATGTCTTAGTTGAAG